AAGGGTTATGAGGCTGTCCCTCCAGTGGAGCAGTCTGTCGTGACACAGGTGCACCTGTGCCCGACGGCCGCTGCATCTGGGGAATCCTTGTCTCCCCTCGCAGGCCTGTAAGCTCGCGTCAGGTTTGGCAGTCAGAGCTTACAAGGCCTGCGGGCAAGCCGCCTCCTCTTTCATTGCATACCATGGCGTTGTTGCAGGTCTATCAGGCCAAAAAACTCATGGACATGCACGAGGGTAGTCTAGACCGTGCGCTCATGAGTGAGCTCCACATTGCTACCGACCTCGCCCTCCGGGGCACGAGTGTCGCAGCATGCGCGGTCGGTCTAGCGATGTCCACATTAGTGGTCCAGGAGCGCCATCGTTGGCTCAGCCTGGTTGAGATGGCGGATGCGGACAAGTTTCGGTTCCTGGACTCCCCAGTTTCCCAGGTTGGGTTGTTCGGCGATGTGGTGGAGAGCTGTACCCAACAGCTCTCCGCCGCCCAGGCACAGACGGAGGCCTTCCGACACATCCTGCCCCGGCGGCCCGCTGCTGCCTTCACCCTTCCGCCGGTGACAGATCCTCCGCCTGCCCGTCGCCGAGGGCGTCCGCCTGCAGCCGCCTCAGCTCCCGCCGGACCATCGCAGCAGTCTACACCCAGGTCTCGGCGTGGAGCCGGCCGCAGGAGGGGCGCCAAGCCAGGTGGTAAGCGACAGCGGAAACGTTGAACCTGGACGGGCCCCCCAGGGATGGAGAAGTTGCTCTTGGAGTGGCCACCGATCCACTCCCTCCACCAGCCGGTTGGAGTTTTTTTCAGACTCGGCTATTGCTCGGCTCCGCTCAAGTCAGTGATAATCATCACACTACGTGTTGAGCAGACGTGCTCCTGAAAATTCAGTGATATTCATCACACCTAATGTTGAGCAGTGCTCCTGTCTTATGCGTGCTTATCTATGTCCTACTGGCGAAGGACTTGATATAGCCATTCCCTCCAGCCGATATGAAGGCCAGTTGTTTAAACTCGTCCTTCATGGTACCCAGTATATGGTGGGTCGTGACCATCGTAGCCCAAGTTGGTCTGCAGCATCTGACCTGAGCTTGTACTTCAGATCTCTACCTTCCGCACCACGGGCCATCCTGTGTGTTGCATGCGAGGGTTCGAAGTATCAGTACAAAGTCCTACCCTTCGAGTGCTCCATAGCCAGTTGGGTCCTCAGGTCAACTGGGAGAGCAATCTCGCCCACGGGCTGAGTATCTCTTTTTCAGTTTGGTGAAGGACTCGGTCCAACACGTCTCTTCAAAAGGAGAGTGTGTTGGCTGGTGATATTTAGAAGTGAGAAAGGGTCCCACTGAAAGAACTTTCAGAGGCTCCTGGGGCATATGGCAGACGCAGCCGCTTGGCTTCCTCCATATGAAGACCGCTTCAGCACTAGCTTCACGATCGAGTCCCGAGGTGACCGTGGCAGAGCAGCACGCCCTGTGTGACAACAGTTCACCCCGGCCTGCTGCCAAACCCTCACCGACCGAGGGGGCATGTATAAAGGGCTTGCTTTAACGGAGGCCTGGGCGACCTCCGACTGCATGGGCATCCGTGCCTTGAGTTGTTGCAGTCCACCTTGCTTTGAGCCACCGCTGCTCAGCGAGCTGGTACTGGTCTGAAAGGACAACATCGCGATCGTTGCGCTAAGCTTCCCTCGCATGTCACAACTCACCCGTCACCTTCTCCTTGGAGTCAGAAACTTCTGAGGTCGCTTCTCCCATTATGTCTTCCGGTCTGCTAATTCGTGCCGCCAACTAGCCTCACGACAGCTATGGCCAGGGAGAGTGGAGACTCCCCGCAGAAATGCGTTCCTCAGTGAGCCTTCTAAGAAAGCGGCTATGCGTTTCATTATCGCTGGGCGCAGGCTCAAGTTCAGTGATTTTTGTCACACTCACGTGTTGAGCAGAAATGCTCCTGAAGCTCAGTGAATTTCATCACACTCAGGTGTCGAGCAGAAATGCTCCTGAAGCTCAGTGAATTATCACATTTAGGTGTTGAGCAAAGATGCTCCGGAACTCAGTGAACTTATCACACTCAAGTGTTGAGCAGAGGTGCTCCTGAAGCTTAGTGATCTTCACATGTAGTGTTGAGCAGTGCTCCTGTCTTGTGCGTGCATGTCGCTTGCACCTACTGTGCTAAAGTCAGGAGTGGAACAGGTTTTGATACCAACCAGACCTAGTTCCCCTCGACAGCCTTCCTGACTTCCCCTGAGTACATTTCAGGGACGGGGCATGATGGCACCCGCGTTCAACCCCTGGAGAGATTCCAGGCCGGTCCTAACTGGATGCGGAGGTTCAGGTGGCTACCGCAGGAATATGTGGTAGTTACCATCACTTCAGCTAGCACTCCTTGAAAAGAGGAAGTTGTGCTTACGCCCAAATAGAAGTGGAACCTATTCGTTGAGTGAGTCTTCTCTCCATTGAGAAGATCCTGAGAGCGTTCGGTCATTTCAGTGCTCTCTTTCCTGCAAGATGGGTTGGAGTAGGCTGTTTTCCTCCACCCTCAAAGTGATGTGCCTCTGTTATTACTTGACGCATATCATGATGCAGAAGCATGGGAAGCAAGTCCTGATCATCAGGTTCCTGGGGGAACAAGGATAAAAAAAAGCCTTGCACCCCTCTTTATCCTCTTGGGCCTTATCTCTGGTGTCATTGCACTGCACAGACCACCCCTGAGCCACTACAGGCAGTGAGTTAAAAATTCTGTTTTTACAGTTCTCCTGCTCGCATGGTCTCTACTAGAGGGTAGGGACTTGCTCGCTTTCGGTCAACGAGTTGTGCCTGGAATTTGGGCCGGCTACTCTCACAAGTTGAGACCCCGGCCTGGATATGTGCCCAAGGTTCCTACCTCTCCCTTAAACTGGGACCAGGTGGTGAGCCTGCAAGCGCTGCCCCGGAGTAGGCAGACCCAGCCCTGGCTTTCTCTGTCCGTCCTCAGACCTCAGACCAACTTTTATCTGTTAAGGAAGTCAGCAGAGAGGGAAGGCTGTTTCCAAGCGAGGTTGGCCCACTGAATGTGGTTGCCTTCATCTTGGTGAAAATCCCGAGATGCACATGTCCACTTAGGTGGTGAGCTCCTCTTAAATGAGTGTGTGCTCCCGCCTAGGCGTTGACACAGAGTGCTTTGCTGACAGATATTATAGAGTTGGGGGCTGGGCGACACCTTAGTCGAACCGCGGCTTCCCATGGGCTCCCTTCTCATGAAGCCAGTTTCACTATGAGCCTGGTTCGAAGTGTCGGCTTGCTGCGCCATTCCCCTCCTACGGACTGGATATGTGCGCCATTTTGCTCCAGTAGAGTTCCCTTAACCGAACCCTGTTGAGTTCCTCCGCACCCCTCCGACATCGGACGTGGCGGAACGCCCGGTGTTAGGCCTACCACTCGTAACCCAGTTCATATGTGTATTCTCCACGTTACCTCCCTTTGGGCAGAATGTGGCTTCCGCAGCGTCCCTTCCTTCCATGTCAGGGAACGCTTTCCCAGTGAGCCTGTAGGAACAGCAGTGACTTCCCTGGCCTATAGCCCTGTCCCTTCTCCGCCTTAATGCGGGGGGATCAGGAGGCTTTTGTCTAGGCGCTGGAAGGTGGCAGCTTTAGTGGTGTTTTCAATGGTTGATCCCATTTCAGTCGACGTCGACGTCGACTACGTCTGACGTTCTCGACTGAAAGGGAACGTCCTGGTTGCGTATGCAACCCACCGTTCCCTGAAGGAGGGAATGGAGGACGTAGTCCCCTTGCCACTACCGCTGGACCACCGCTGACTCCGAGTTACGCTCAGCTCCTCAGCGAAAAGCAAATGGTGCGTGCATCTACTTCCGTATTTATACCCGCGCCGCGGGGCGGAGTGTGAGATTAAAATCTTGCACGCCAATGTGCATTGGCTCGTTCTAAGATACTCGAAGACGATAGGCTCCCTAGCGTGATCCCATTTCAGTCGACGTCGATTATGTCCTCCGTTCCTTCCTTCAGGGAACGGTGGGTTGCATACGCAACCAGGACGTTCTGTAGAACCAAAGCCAGCAGTTTCAGACCAAAAGTTGTTTTGCACTAATAAAATCAGGAACAATACTGTTTTTAACAGCACGGTACTGCAATACTAGCTGTATACCACGCAACATTATTAAACATATATATATATACAGTATATATATATGCAGAACCAACTTCTGGCCTGAAATCGCTGGCTTTGGTTCTGCAGAACCAACTTTCGGTCTGAAACTACTGGCCTGAATAATATGAAACAATTTTCAGGCCAACAAAGTTGGTTCTGTACTTATAAAATAAGGAACCGTACTGTTTTTAACAGCAAGCCAATGTTCATATTTATAAAAAAAGGTCTTTGATGTGGAAAAGTACTTAGCACCACATCAGCAGACGTACGCACTTTTTCTTTTGGCAGAGTGTCTGAGGAAATTTAAGCAATTCTTGCTGCTCGCTGTTAACTCCTTTACCGAGTTCTCAAGTAAAGGATTTGGATGCTCTACAGGCCAGCCATTTCAGACTGGAAGTTGGTTCTGCAGAACCATACGTGACAGAACCATATGTTTCAGGTCAACAGTGTCAGTCCAGAAACAACTTCCGGTCTGAGACTGCTGAGGCTACGGTGGACATTTTAATGATCATCAGCGTATGTTCTAACTTCATTTTATTTCACAATAACAATATATCTCAATATAGTTATTTTTGTTTTTTAAATCTTTGTTATTAAAAACAAAGTTTTGATAAAACTGTTATTAATAACAAAGATGCAAATTACAAACAATAGGAACAAATACAATATAAGAAAGATACAAATTAAATAAACAGTGCTTTAATTTTTTTCAGGTACAGACTATTTAAGAGTAGAATTCAAGTAAGAACTACTACAGAAATTGAATAATCAAATGTAAAAATAAAACACTGCATAGTCTTCACTGTATGAATTAAATTACATTACAAAAAAATTACATTTTTCCTTATTAAAGCTACTAAAGTTATTCAGTCGAGTAATGAGTGATTTTTATTTATTCATTTTTTTATATAAATACAGTCATAACAGACCGGCCATTTTTAATAATGTTCATTATAAAAATCACGTTTTTGGTGTAGAACAAAGAGACTTACATTGTTCTTTAACAGTTATTTAAAGCAGGTACATTTCAATATTTTAATCAAAATTTAAAAGTCATATGGAGTGAAGCGAGCATTTGCTGAGGAAATAAAATACAGTGGAAGATTTACAAGTAAAATTACACCACAGATTTTGTGCTTAAACATCCATTACTCATTACCATGTGCTGTTTAAAAAGCATAGTACATCCACTAAACAAGCACTTTAAATAAAACCTTTAATGAGAAGGTTTATCAGCCAACATTATCAACTAACATGTCAATCATTCAGTCAAACATTATCATTTAAGTGGTTAATGGGTCCCATACCAAAAACAGCTCACATTTACAAAATTAAAAGGCTGTAGTTTCTACACTTCATTATGAATTGATCATAACCCCAAAATGAAAACTCGATGGATTGCTGCTGCTCTAAAAGTTACTTCCCATCTCTGTTAAGACTAGTCCTAAAGAAACTCATTAGATACTATCCAGCGCTCTCGAAGGGCCATCAATACTGCATCAAAGCAAGAAAATATACCAATATGTTTCAGGTATCATTTAAGCTTTCTTCTTTTAAAAAATAACATTTTAGACTGTACATTATACAGTAATGTTAAATCGTATATTTCATCTTATATCAGTGATATAGAGGTAAATCAAGTCGACAGAAGTTTATCAAACATTAAAAATCAACAGATTCAGAAATTACACAGGCGAAATAACACTGGTTTAAAAACATACATGTGAAAGGGTTTCTAATTGTGTGCAAGTGTTTTGAAAGACCGAGAAAAGGAGCAGAGAGGCATGATGGGACGGACAATTATAGAGGGGGAGAGGAAATAAGAAAAAAAAATGGGGAAGAGGAAGAGGGGAGGCACAAAGGAGGCTCAGAGGTTGCTGAAGAGCTCATTTCTTTTGCTCCATTCCATCTGCGGGGCTCTCTTGTTGGAGCGTTTCTTGTGAGCTAGTTCCTTTGCCTGTTGCAGCGACATGTTCAGAGATAGTCCTGCGCCATCACTTGAAGCCTTCTCTTTTGGTTTCTCCTGCAAACGTATCATTGTGAAAAATCAACATTCTAGACCTTGCGGTCTCCATATACTCCAGAATGTGTGTGTGGACACAAACCTCTGGTGCTGAGGTGCTGGCTGGAGCTGCGGAAGTGGAGGTGTTGGAGGAGGTGCTAGAGGTCGACAGACTCATAGCTACTTTAGGCTTTTCCTCCTGGGTTGCTTTTCCATTCACCTGCAATAAAGGAAATATAAGACATTAATATAAACATTACATTCAAACACAATTAAAGGAATAATTCACCGTTCCAAACCTGTATGCATTTCATTTTTTTCTGCTGAACATTAAAGAAGATATTTTGAACAAACCGTCTTGGTTCCTATTGACTTCCATTCCATTTTTTTTGTCAAATGGAACCTAAACTGATAAGCTACCAATATTCTTCCAAATATCTTTGCTTTTGCCACAGGAGAAAGTTTGGAACAACATGAGGGTGAGTAAATGATGACAGAATTCATTTTTTATTAATTTTATAATGCACTATCTCACAAAGTGCAGTACCAAAAACAAACCCCTAGATGGACCCTGAGCTTTGTTCAGTTCACAATCTGACTATGGGCCTGTCCCAATACCCACACTTGTGGCCACTTGAAAGTGTGTGCATGCCACAGGATGTCCAAGTGCAAGGCTATCCCAGTTCTGATAAATGTCAAAGCTTAAATCTCTTCAAAAGCTCTACACACACACACACTTGTGGTCTTTCATGCCCACTTGGGCCAAAGACAGGAAATACGTCATGTAAGTAGACAAGTGGTCAAGTCCACTCCAAACACCGCAAGTGTGGGTATTAGAACAGGCTCTGAGTTCAGTAGGAAAGTTTCGTTACGTCTGTAAGTGGGGTCAATAAAGAGATTAGCAACAGTTATAGTAAAATGACTTTTTTATTTATGCTTGCAAAGAATAACTTGTAAGTCGGAACTCGGAAGGCTGAAACACTAAGATACCCATGAACTGAAAAATGTTACAAAATAATAGATCCTCAATTCAGGTCTCCATATCATGGTTGCTATACCATCACAAACAACTTTGGTCAGTTGCCATGGGAACCTGATGTAATGCAGATGAAATCATTTCAACAGAACATAGTCAGACTAACCTGAACAAAGCTCAGGGTAACAAGAGATTTGAAATTCCTATAAATTTCTAATTGTTTGTGATGGTTAAGAGATCAATTTTTAAGAGACTGAACACATTCTAACCAATGAAATATTTCAGAGCTGAGACATTTTAAAATTCAATGATCACTTCACTGGTTCCCTTATTTTTGAAATCTATAAATATTGTATTATAAATCAAGCAGGTTTCAGAAAATTTAAATCCAAAACATAGCCAGCATCAGTCAGTAAAGAATAAAACAAGCTTGAAAACAGCAAGAGTTTGTTGCACTAAATTTGTTTTATTTGTATGTTGTCAATATTACATGATGCATAAAACAAATCTGGTCCTTGCAATGAGGTTTTCTGGTATGTAACCTTACAAAAGTTACAAAGAAGCAAGTACTATGACATACACTACTGTTCAAAATGTTGGGATATATATATTATTTTTGTAGCACTTTATTTTACAGTCCTGTTCCCCATGTACATACTATATACTTATTATAGTATTTACAATAACTGGGTAATAACTAGGTACAAACCCTGAACCTACACCTAAACCTAACCTTAACCCATGTTGTTACCTTATATTACCTAGTACTTTCTTAGGTACGTACACTATAGACATAAGTGCAATACTGTGAAATAAAGTGCAACCATGATATTTTATGTTTTTAAAAGAAGTCTCTTATACTCACCAAGGTTGCAATTATTTGATCAAAAATACAGTAAAAACAGTAATATTGTGAAATTATTTCAATTTTAAAAAACTGTTTTCTATGTTAATGCATTTTTTTTTTAAAGTATGTATTCTGTGATGGCAAAGCTGTTTTTTGAGAAAATGATCTAGAATGCTGGCCATGGCTGGGAACTTTTTTTTTTTTAAATGCTGGCGGGGAAAGAGTTAATAATTTTGTGGAAACCGAATAGAAGGGTTAATTTGAAATAGAAATCTGCTATAACATATACATGTCTCTACTGTCACTTTTGATCAATTTAAATATTTGCTGAATAAAAGCATTAATTTATTTAAAAAGTGTATGCCTATATCAAGTAGGTTTTAGCATCAATGTTGCTTATCTGTCAGCAAAGACCAGCATGAAAGCAAGGATCAGAAAATTTAAATTTGCTTGTTTTGTTTATACGTTGCCAAGATTATACAGTGTAGCAAAAAAAAAAAAAAAAAAAACTGTCATTGAGCTTTTCTGGTATGTAACATTTAAAATATTTTTTTCACTTAGTTGTCTCAACAGTCTCCTTGTCTCCTACTGTCTCCTACTGACGTCAGAACAACTGATATAAACCACATGATAATCCGCAAAGCTCAAAAGTAATGATGGATTTACCAGACTCAAACTCTCTGCTATCTACAGCTGTGCAAGAGTCAGGAATCAGAGCCAGACAAACATCAGAGGGTGAAAGAGTATCTCGAGAAACGCCAGCGGTACCAGGTTTACAGCTTGATAAAGTTAAATGTTTCTGTGTTGTGTGAAGAAAAAGAGCAAAAACTCTCCTGCACACCCTTAAGATGTTTTATCTACCAGCAGATACCTGGACAAAGAGCTTCCATTAACCCGGAGGAAGTGGCAATTATCTGCTCCAGGTTATCATTCTCTCACAGCTAGTCTAATATAGCAGTGGGAAAAGTGATAGAGAGAAACCAGGACACTGCATTAAAAGTGGCCTGAAATCTGGTTATCAGACACCACGGATTTACCCTTGTCCTAATACGGCCTGTCTAATCCCATCACTGACACTCAGACACTATTACACTTCAACAGCCAATAAATGTGATCGAGCAATTTTAGCAAATGCAAATAACTGAAACACATTACACGACCACTTTACGAGAAATGTAAAGGGTCACACGCATGTTTTCTTGACACAAATGAAGATTGGTGGTCTGAATACATGTAATCTTTGAAACTCTGCTTCATTTATCGAAGAGCCAGACGTTGCTCACCTGATCTTCTGCATCACGACTGAGAACAGGCTCTGGGAGTGCACCTAAGAACAGAGAACGACACATTCATTAGGCCTCCTATAAAAAAAGCCTTTTAAAGCTTTAGAGATCAGATATATTTGTCTCACAGTTAGTTCAAATGCAACTTGGGGAAAAAGGTTATGAGATTCATGATTCCTTTAAGGTGACATGAAACGGAAGTTGCGATAGTCTTTTCTTGCCTATTGTGATGTATATCCGAATGAAACGGCTTTTAGAATGAGAAAAATGTTTTATAGGGCGGGACTGGATTTTGTTCTCGGGAGCTGATTGGATCGTAGGAGGTTGGCAGATCTGAATGCTAGTTTGCAGTCAGTTGTGGAGGGTTTTTAGTCACACTGTTCGCCGAGACATACGCATGTCATGAAGAGAACAAACGCCGTTTTGAGAGGGAGATGAGGTTAAAGTTTTTGATTAAAGAATGAAAAAAATAATGATGGGCACAGATAAATCCTTTATAATAAACACTTTAAAGTGCTTAATATACATGGCGGCACCATTTAAAAAAATAATAAAACAGAGTTTCATTAATTATAATGTGAGTAAGGGATTTTATTCATGTTATGAATATTCTTATATTTTGATTTGTTTTTGTCAAGCTACATATATAATACAATACTACTTCTTTCAAAAAGTCTTACAGACCCAATACGTTTGAATGGTAGTGTATATATAAAAACATTTTTAAAATATTTCATTCACTAACTAAATAATTGACTATGTAACATACAAAACATTTTGGGGTTGAACTATGAGCAAAAAATAAAAAAATATATATATTGTGATATATAATTTAATTTTCTCTGATGTAAGATTTTGCCATTGGCCTAAGAGTTTAGTTTTAAATTCACAGCACAATGGCTGGACAGTGAGTTTCCTTCTGGGAAAAAGAAACAGGAAACAGGCAAAAAAGCCTTTTAAGAATTGGGAAACATTGCTATTGTGGTTGAAATAATAAAAGATGAATAAAGATCATGTGTGGGTGCTGTCAACATCCTTTCACTGAAAATGGGGAAAGTCCAACAGCCCACTGGCGAGCTCATAGTAACATTGTAGGGCAATAATTTTCTCAAAAATCATTCATTTTTTTGCTTACTATTTCACCTGTTGCTCAATCACCTTCATGTTATTCTTCCTCATATCTTAGTGGGGTGGTTGGGCCGCCAACAGGAGTCGTTTGCCTGTCTGGCATATTTAGGGTGGGGGTGATTGACTTCCCCCATTTCTCATACTGTTGCCATGGGCCTGATCACCATGACGACATGCTGGCAGTGGGTTATTGACTTTGGCTAATTCTCTACAGACATCAGACAGTGTCACTGCAGGCCTCGAGTTGATGTTTAACCAGCAGTCTGTTACTATGTGAATGTGTGTCCGTACAATCATGTGAAACGTTTGACAAAGTGAACCAAGTTATTCTTGATCAGCAAAACCACACTAAAGGTCAAGGGTGAGATGGAAAGAAACCCACTTTGCACATGCAAAAACATGCCACAGCGGGTTAATTTGTTACGCTGGTACCTGTGAGATGTTTCTCGGTCGGGAGGACCTCACAGCTCATGAAGAAGGCGTCTGTCTCTGAATCCACCACCAGCAGTCTGGTCTCATCTCCTCCTGCTTTAATGGCCGCCACCACTTCTGAATGCTGCATCGTGTGCACTGGAACGCCATTCACCTGCAGAAGCAACCGAACATTATTTTATACATTTTGAAATAGGGAGACACTTACATGGTGATAAGGAAGAGAACATAACAGGAATGCAGGAAGTCTCCATTCATTCCGACTTTTCTGGATATTTTAAATGAATAATTTTTTCCTGGAACATTCAAAGCATGTGGCTGAAGTGGTCAGCACCTGCAGTTCTGTCGTGATCTTCAGGGGACATTTTATTGAAAGCCAATTTTAAATAAATCGAAATAAAATTATATATATATATATATAAATGATTGTACGTTATTTGCTTTTCAAATTTGTTGATTAGTAATTCCTTAGTCAATTTATCTTTTTGCTGTTAATGACATTTCATCATTTAAAAATACAAATTGCATCAAAATATATATTTTTTTAAAGTAAACTACAAGTTATATTATTGTGTTATTTACTTTGTTAATTACACTTTGTTCATTAGTAATTTCTTAGTCAATTTAATTTATTGCTTTAAGGTAATTTAATTTTAATGCAACCTTAATTTTAATTTAATTTAAATGTAATAACATGTAAATGTAAACATAAAATTAAATTACATTTAAATGAAATCCTTAGTTACATTAAAACTTAACTATTAAAACAAAGTATTATCATTTAACTTGTAAATAAAACAATTTTAATCTATTTGCACTATATTGTTTCTTTATTTGCACTATTCACATCAACACAGCTGGACAAACTTTGGCAATGCAAATGTGAGTTTTTGTCACTCTGTACTGCCAAATTCTCTTTAATATAATAATAATAATATAATAATAATAATAAATACATTTTATTTATAATGTGCTTTTCTAAAACCCAAAGCGCTAAATATATATATATAGTACCAGGAAGATAAAGCAAATTACCTTTCTCTGACACTATGTTTAATTGAAGTACTTATGGGTCAATAGAAAGACTAATCCCATGACCATGACTTGTTCTCATGGAGGGGGCACCTGGGAAAAGACTGAAGTTCTGTTGGCCTATCTTATAATGCCAGAGGCTAAGGAATCTGCGTGGGAGATTCAGGGCAGGAGTGGGCTCTTAGGAATGCCGATCCCACTCTCCCGTTCTGCAGGCAATTAAAAAACAGCGGACAAACAACAGTCCCCTTATGTGTCCCTTAAACACAGCCCTTTTACACACACACACACACACACAACAGAACAGAGGAAGCAAAAAGGAGAATTCATCTCAGTGAGCGTGAGAGGCATACAGGCATAGCATGGCATGTTTTTATCGTCATGTTCAGGTAAAGCCATGTGACTCCACATGATGCCTGACATTTAAATGTCTCAGCTCTCCGGAATCTGAGATGAGACGCGGGAAATGGGAGTGAAACTAAGAACAGGGATCCTTAGAGTGTGAAAACACTCAGAGCTTTCAAGCACGGCCGCTGAATGAAGCCAGCGTTCAAAGAAAAGGGTTCAGTGGCATTCTGAAGGAAATTAGACAAGTCTTTAAACCGAAAAATTCAGGCCAAAGAGGACCAGATTTGCAGTCAGGGTGAACAACTTTGCCAGTCTTTATACAGTGAATGGGCATGATTTCTTCAAATATGTGAAATGTCTAAAACTGTGAAAAACCACATGCCACAGACCGAGTAACAAGTTAGCAAAGACTAATTCACCATGACCCTGAAAACATTTACATATTCTGACATATTTTGTCATTTGGTTGGAAAAGACTGATGCATATGACATCATTAATAACTAGCTGCTAATCTGTTATCGGTTCTGTACACAATATACTATCTGAATTTTCCAGGAATTAATTCTGCTGTAGAACACAGTTCACACTAGTAAATAACCAAACTATGTAGCCTACAAAATGGGATGAAAAATAAAAAAGAAAGAAGTATTTTATTTATATTTACTTGTCCGACTTTACTTTCTCCACATTTACACTAGGTATTAACATTCTTTTTGTGCAATGTGTTTGAAATGGGTCAATGATAAATAAAACATAAACAAGTCCTTTTTCTCCCTTTTAACCTTTCTTGAACTTTCTTTGGGGTCTTTGGGACCTCTATCACATAGCCGTAATAAGTGGAATGAGGCTGGCCTGATATCAGCAGCGAGGGGGCAGGTGGCTTGATAACCATACGTGGCTCTGACCTCTCCTCAGGTGTTCAGTAATCCCAGCACTCCCAGAGAGACAATAATTACACTGGCCACTCCTTCACTGATAGCTAATGAGATTAACGCTCTACAAACAGAGTCCAAACCGCTCAGGCATTTAACATTAACACTCTGTGCAAGCATAAAATTATATGTGTAAAATAAAGCTGTGGCTCTAAGATATATTCTTTGATTGTTCCAATGGCAGCTGTAAAATACATCATATGGTGGGAGAACATTGATTGAGATTATTACTAATACTGGCCGAACCACATGTTTTTTTAATGACAGATGGCTATGCCAATATCTAGAAACCAGGATGTCTGCTGGCTGATATAATGTCAATACACACATGACACAATTTAATGACAGAAACTGAGATGTACACGATTTCAGAAATTAACTGAACACTTATTTTATACAATTTTTATGTGAAAAAAAGAAAAGAAAAGAATCCATTGACCAAGATTTCAAGGAAAGTCAAAACGGCCAAAAATAATTTATAATAAACAGTATTTGTACCCTACCGTTCAAAAGTTGTGGGTCTGTAAGAAGTAAGATTGTTTTAATGTTTTTGAAATAAGCCTCTTATGCTCACCAAGGTTGCATTTATTTTGATAAAAAAAACACTGGTAAAGAAGTAATATTGTAAAATATTATTACAATTTAAAATAATTGTTTTGTATTTTAATATATTTTAAAATGCCATCTATTCCGGCGATGGCAAAGCTGAATTTTCAGCATCCATTACTCCATTACAGTCCTACTGTTCAGTCTGTTGAAAACAGTTGTGCTGCTTAATATTTTTGTTTAAAACATGATGAATTTTTTTCAGGATTCTTTGATTTATTTGATTATTAGATTTATTTTATAATTGTATTTATTTGAAATAGAAACATTTTCCAACATTAAAAATGTCTTAACTGTCACTTCAATTTAATGCATCTATCGGTGACCGAGAGAGACACGCTATCTGAACACAAAAGTTGTATTACTTGATTACTACACATTCCTAACACACACACACACACACACACATCAAAAGCGAGGATGGAGCAGAGAAAGAGAGCAGCCCTAGGAGTCTAAAATTTGTCTAACCTCATGATAACTGGATTGTGAGTTTTAGGAGGATTTTTGAGCATATTCAGCAGTATTGTTATTACAGAAAGAGTCAGGACTCTTAAAGGGATATTCCTGGTTTAATACAAATTCAGCTCAGTTGACAGCATTTGTGGCATAATTTTTGACAATTATGACTTTTACCTGGATTTAAATTCAGAAATGCGAGCCGAGGCATATAATAATATGTATAATTAATGTATAATTTTATTTATTTGAAATAGAAACATTTTCCAACACACAGACACACACATTTAAATAGCGAATTAAATATGGTGTATTATACCTGCACTATTTTATCTTGGGGCTGAAGTCCAGATTTCTCTGCTGGGGAGTCCTCATCCACCGCCCTGATGTACTGGCCAGGTTTCGACTTCTCTGTGTGCAGGTTAAAGCCATATCCCGTGGCACCCTTCTTCATGTGACAGAGACGTGGACGCAGCTCATTCTTTGAATCCTACAAAGAGGAAACAAACAAGACAAGAAACTATGAAAAAACCGGATACTCTGCTATGTCACACAAACACACAAAGCAAATATTTGAGGGTATCAGTTACATCACATATTAAGTTTGTTGTAAATCTTGATAAGATCATTTTTACATCACATCTTTCAAATGTAAACTATAGCTAAGAATGTTGTACAAAGCCGAAGTCAGCAACAATCTGATTCCCTCCTGCAACCAACCACATTTCCAAAAACAATATGGTTCAAATCAATCAAATATTCACCACACACCAAAATATTCTTTCACTTCACAAATGTGCTTGAGAAAATCATAACGTACAGAAGAACTTCCAAAGCAAAGCCATCCACCCTAATCGATACACAATAACTGAACAAACAAGTCACCTGCTTCCTGAAACATTCAAGCTTCCTCAAAATTCTGATCAACACTCTAAATAAAACCAAAGAAAATGAAATAATATACAAATAGATTTTTTTAAATAGCTTGTATACCATTTCAAAGCGCAGTCAGTACGTCAACATCCCGAGATGAAGCACTGAAAAGTAGAAGTAATGAAACTGACCAGTCATCTATGTACTTCCCTCTTTAGCAAACCAGTCTGTGATATATGGCTGAACTTATACAAACAGATAAGACATTCAAACATCTACACATGTACATATTGATCTACAGATGAGTCAAAAGAAAGACACATGAGCCAGCAAAGTATGAAAACAAATTTTTTTTGTTTTTTTTTGTTTTGTTTTATAAAATATAAAATGCAGATCATTATATAATACAGTTTAATGTTTCATCTTTCATCTTATGTACCCCTCCCTCAATAGTCCCATCAATAATGCTCAAGTACCCCTTCATAAACACTAATAATAATCATAATAAATACTGCTACTACTTTTGTTGTTGTTATTATTATTATTAATAATTATATAGTTATAGTTGATATAGACAAATTATTTTGTCTCATGTATCACCACAGCCCCCAAAATAATGCTGAAGTATAATAATAATAATAATAATAATTCAAATAAATATTAATAATATATTTCTATATAATTATATATGATACACAACAACACTAATAATAATAATAATAATAATAATAGTCATGAATATTTTTATTATTTCTTTATATAAAAATAATAAATGTGATACACTGATACAAATCATGAGATTAAACATGATTATTAGTTATTTTAATCTTTACATTAACCTGTTTTATATGTAAAAAGCCAACTCAAAATCATTATTTCAGGTTTGGAATCACTGACGAAGACCAACTACAAACAAACCAATTCAGCACATAGGGAAAGTGTGTCCAAGGTGCTCACTCATGATGCTCTAACACTGATAATACCAAAGGCAGCAGTACAAAGCTGCAGTGTAAAGGCTACATACTTCCCGGGAGGGCTGCTCTTCTGGGAAACTGGATAGCACTGCAGAGTGAAGGGGTTAGCAGCACTAGGGTCACTGAATGTGCTTGATACGATTATCAATACCTGTTCATGCTCGGGGCTAACCACAGGTCACAGACAGTGCTGACAAAAGCAAAGGTATCCTCGTTACTATCCCCAAAGAAAATGTGCCTGGATGTAGCCACTAATAAAAGAAAGAACTCTTCTAACCGGTGACTATGCAAATGCAAGGCCTATCTGAGCTCTGAATAGCATAGGCTTAACCAGCAGAGGCCATATGTTACGCTAAGAGTTTAATCCCGCCTGCTAAACACAAGGCTGCGACTGAAGACTTCTGTTTATGGATGGTTTGTGGACGGTGTGTGGTGCAGTGGTTAGAGCACAGGGCTGGTAATCAGAGCCATGAGCTATTGCCAAATTGTCCCCTTGATCAAAGCACTTAACCCCAGGCTGCCCTGGAGGGATTGTCCCTGTAATAAGTGTACTGTACTGTACTGTACTGTACTGTAAGTCACTTTGGATACAAGCGCCAGCTAAAATACTTACTACTCACTATAGAGTAGAGTATTACTAGGTGGTTTCTAATGTGTTTTGGTTGGTTGTTTACAAGCCCATTATTCATTTTTGTAATAAATAATTTTGTTTGGTTTTGTACAAAAATTTAATTTTGTAGCACGACGCGTTGGCTTTAAGCACTGACCAAACTGGCAAGAGACTAAGTTTAGATCTTATTTCATTCTGCAAAACTGTAACTTTCCTGCCAATGTTCTGTAGCCACATACGACTGTTTCTGACAGAAAGATCACAATGTCCGGAGAGGACTGGACATGGACATTATACAGTCAGGAATATTACACAAAGTTATTCGCCATCTGGGTGGGTCTTGTGACAGTATGACACATATGACAGTCACAATGTTTTTTTAAATGCCTGTGATATTACTCACACAAGTAGGCATATAGGATCACTTAACATATACTAAAAGATACACCAACACCCTGTGATAAGATATACAAAGCTGTCTGATAAAGCCATAGGTTGCTGCACTGTATTGGTTCTTAATCTTCTTGTGACTTCATTACTTATTACATGCATGCAACCTCTGAAAACTCTTCTGCCCAAGGCAAATAATGAGTGGAAATTATGAACTGAGATGAGATGATATAGCATGATATGAAAATCATGCTTGCTGCATTGTAACTGTATGAAAAGCAAAAGATACGAAAGCACCGGGCGAGCTGATGGCACTGGCACATGTGAGTAAGGGGAGAATTGTGGGAGTGTGGGAAAGGACTTGGGTGTGGACTGCTATCTTTGAAAAGGGTTTGGCAGGGGCCCACACATTCACAATGCAAAGACGACATCATCCGCTTTGATAAGATCCCTGGAACACTGCACTCTGATTTTATGAAAGAAATCTTATCAAAACCATAAGAAAAGGAGGACACTCAAATTAGGAATATTATGCATGTGATCAATGACATGATGAGAAATGTCACAAAAACCCATCTGGGTCATATTTCACCTCAAAAAAGAAAGAAGAAATTATATTTGCATAAAGAATGAAGCCTATGTTTAAAATGATTACGATTTAAAACTCTTAATGGCGTTATTATCTTCATAGGCAAAATATGATTTCTCATTTAGGTGTGTGTGCAGGTGGTAAAACGTGTCGTGGCCACTGGGCATGTTTTTTTGTGATATTCACCCAATAGCTTGTTCATCACTTGTACATCTGGTACAGAATGGCTATTCCACAAATTTACAAACTACCATTATCTCACCCAAGTTTAGATTAGAAAAAAACAAAAACAATTGGGCACTTGGCAGGAGATACTTATACACTTGATTTGGGCTTAATATAGATCTGTGTCTGACTACTCATATTAAGAGAGGATATCAGATTCATTTGAGAGGATCTTCTCTGTAACCAGTTTTCCAAGTGGAGCAGAACATCCTCGACAAAAACTGAAATGACATGAGAGGAAATAAGCCTATTCTTTTTATTTCATGAAGCATTATAACGGAACTTCGAACAATAAACTAGCATTAAACCATGACATATCATGTTACAGTTTGTGATGAAAGCATGTGATCTCAAAAACATACTAACTTGGAGTTATTATGCATAAAGCTCAGAACGTTTATTTTCTTTTTGGAAGTGTACAGTTCGTTTATGTAATATCATCTTTGAAAGAAAATCCCATTACTAGATAGTCTCCCTCTGGGCCTCCTTTTGCCTTTGGGTTATTCAATATAGGAAGCTGAAGTCAGCAGAGGAAATCATTCCCCCTGTCCACAGTAGATGTGGGGGAGAGTAATTTTAAAACTACACTGTCTGACAAAGACCTTCATTCACTGCCAATCCTCCTGAGATGAAGACTGTCTGTGTGCATAACATGAACCTGTAGCACCTGCAGCCTTCAAAGTGACTATTGGCAAAGAGATCAGTCACTGATTACAGGGTTGAATTTAAAATATAGCCACAACTTTTAGAATGATCTCTCCTTGAATGCACTCATTTCTATATCGCCTAATACCTTTGTGTGAGGAACACTCTGAAATTTAAGTCACCATGCATCACAACATCAGATTATTATGACCAGCATTACAGTATGCAAATTCATCATGATATTTCCCCAACCTTTTGTCACCACAATGGGGACAATCTCACACCACAAACGAACAGCATTCTGTTGACATTTACTCACCCTCAACATTTTTTGTCCACATAATGGACAATACAAAGTCAGTAGGGTTCAAAATAGCACTAGACCATGTGACTTAAAAAAAACAAAAAAACATTGAGACAATTTTCTTTTGTGTCCCACAGAGGAGAGAAAGGTTTGGAACATTATGAGAATGAGTAAATGATGACAGTATTTTATTTTTGGGAGCTGTTGCATTCCAGCAAGTAAACCTGTTTGTCACAGGCAGAGTGTGGTAAGGCCCTAACCCAACCGGTCTCCAGCTCACAGCAGGCCTCAGTAAATCCTCCACCAACCCTATAAAGATACTACAGTTCAATAATACAAAGGTTAATGACTTTATAGCTCACTTTAGTAACTCATAATCTTGTCCTAGGTTTTCTCAACTCTTGAAGGACTGTGTTGGTGAAACATGAACTGATGATTGAAAACAATAATTATCCCAAACCATAACCTTTCCAAGTAAACAAACTTTATTTAAACCCCTCCTATTACGTCATGTGGTATACTGGCATATTGGCTAAACAAAAGCAATTTAGGAGCATTTTTAATAGTATGACACAAGATTGAGTGCATGAATGTGAAGATGAGCAGAGCTGGCAAATGTGCCATAAATATATTTACAGGCCGGAGGCTTTGGATCCAAGATGTGCAGGTGCAAAATTCAACAGACAATAATTAACCTATAGAGATTTGAAAACTGCCAACCGACAGCAAAATGCATAGACAGGTACCAGAGCAGTGAGTTGAGGACTGATACGATTGATATAACTGCTCGTGTCATCTCAAAATGCAACAGACCACAGCAGGAAAACAGCGACCTTGTAACCAAGGAAGTGGTTTATTCAAATGTGTGAACATCCCTCCC